GCTGAGAACTGTAGTGTAGGGATTGTCTCTGATGCAGTTTCCCTAATCAGGTAATGTGAAACCAGTTAACTGATATACTGGTTAAAGGAGATGTTATAAAAGATTACCTTTCTTTGATTTTAGGTTAAGAATCAGGTTTTTCATATTATGTATGGATTAATCACAGAAACCTCTTTTAATTCATCAGAATGCAAACTCTACATACATTATGGCTGCAACGGAATGAAATAACATGCTTGCCAGAAACAATCAGCAACATGAAAAACCTGGGTACTCTTGTTCTCAGCAACAATAAACTGCAAGATATTCCAGTGTGCATGGAAGAGATGACCAATCTGAGGTAAAAGTTGTAGACCCAAAAGAGACATGTTCCTTTCTGGTTGCAGAACAAAGTAATATAGAGCAATTTTATGAATTGATTTGAGTTCTCATTCATATGAATGAATATATTTAAAAATCTTTTCCAACTTTGAAATTCTATAATTACATAAGTAGGATTCATATAACACTGGTTAAAATTATTCAAGAAAGAATCCTTGAAACAAAAGTCAAACTGGCATTATCAGCTTTAAGGAATACCCTCGGTTGGTGACATTTTTATGAAAATCGCTTTGCAACTGCTAACAAACCTCATCTACAAATAAAAGCAAAAGGTATAAAAATAGTGCTTATTTTCCTTCTAAAAGACTACTATGGACACAGGTAACCATGTTATAGAGTAAATATGTAAGTTAATTACTCTCAGAACTCCCTCAAGTGTCTTACTTCCAAAATTTAATTTCCTAACAGAACGTAAGACATGAGAATTCACATCAAATCCTACAATTTCCAAAACAGAGTCATTCATACATTCATTTATTCATTCATTCATTCATTCATTCATCAATTCAGCAGCTACTGGGTCATGTAATCGATGGTGAAGATACAATGATAAATAAGACACAAGTAAGTCTGTAAAATATACAGAAACTAAGGGGTGCCTGGGTGGCTCAGTCAGTTGAGTGTCCAACTTCTGCTCAGGTCATGATCTCACAGTTTGTGAATTTGAGCCCCGAGTTAGGCTCTGTGCTAACAGCTGAGTCTGGAGCCTGCTTTGGATTTTGAGTCTCCCTCTCTCTGCCCCTTCCCTGCTCATGCTCTATCTCTCAAAAATAAATAAACATTAAAAAAAAAATATACACACAGACACACACACACAGACACAGAAACTTTAATTTCATAGCATTAATTGTATGTTTGAGATGCCCTGGAATTGCTCTGGGAAGTTGAACTGTTCCACATTAAATATATGGTAGGAACTAACAGTTGCTTCTATAAGCTTTGAAAATAAGTTGTCTAAAGCTAGGTTTCTTCCTTCTAGAAAATAAATTTAAAAGATTCTTAGGATTTATCACATCTCACCACGATGTCTGGTTATTGAAACCGTTTTTTTTTTTTTTTTTTTTTTTTTTTTTTTTTTTAATTTACCATATTATCATTTGATCTTTCGCTAGGGAAATAAATGTTCACTTCTACGGCACCTATAAAAATACTGTTTTTTGGTGAACTGCTAGGTTTGTCAACTTCAGAGACAACCCACTGAAATTGGAAGTAACACTTCCTCCTAGTGAAAGCATAGATGAAGAAGAGGAACGGGAATTATTTGGCCTTCAGTTTATGCATATATATATACAGGAGTCACGGAGAAGAGCAGGTAGGAGATTTCTTTATAACACAAGCCACATATTTGGTAGAAGAATGTGTTTATATATAAGTTCCTTTATAGATTTCTCATTACATCTTACCTTTTCCGTCAAATTTTGTCTCTTCGTCAATACTGTGGAAGGAGGGGCCCCTGGGTGGCTCAGTCGGTTAAGCATCTGGCTTTAGCTCAGGCCATGATTTCTTGGTTTGTGAGTCTGAGCCCCGCATTGGGCTCTCTGCTGTCAGCATGGAGCCTGCTTTGGATCCTCTGCCTCCCTGTCTCTGCCCCTCCCCTGCTCATGCTCTCTCTCTCAAAAATAAATAAATATTTAAAAATATATATATATTGTGGGAGGAAAAAAAATGAAATTCAAATCTGTTCACAATTTTGATAAAGGCTTGGAGAGAAATTGTAAATATACAGAAAATTTTTCAAGTTAGAGACAGACAGGAAACAAATTTCTTTGGCCAAGCGCTTGAAGCACAACCAGATGAATGAAGATGTGATTCTTTAAATCTTCACTACCTAATTCTATCAGTTTATTATATATTTCTGTGTACTCATGGACACTACCTTCCCTGTCATTTCTTTTTTCTTTCTACAATCCACAAATAGCAACACAATATTCTGCCTAGGGATGACTATTAAGAGAACAGAGATTTTAACCAATAGTTAAAATGTGAGGTTTTGATATATAAATTTCAATCACTTAGTCTCTGATAATTAAGAATTAAATCACTTAACTAAAGCCTTTAACTTAAACCAAGATTAGAAGAAGCCGAAGAAACAATTCTGTTAATAAAAACATTGAAACTAGAGTAATATAAATCATGGTTTTATAACTCACTAAAATGTGAATTTTTTGTTTTAAATATGAAGTTTTTGAATCAAAAGGTTAAATTTATCTTCAGATAGTTACTTTGGAGAATAAGTGTAATCCAAGCAAACAAATGAGTTTTTTAGCTAGAAGAAATCATTTTACCAACATCCAGTGGAGGATGTTAGGAAATGGTCATCTGATCTGTGACAGCAAGTCATAGAAACAATAGCACAGAAAATAGATTGGAGGAAGATAAGTAAAGTTATAGTTTGGGGTATAATTATGTAAGACAGATGGGGACAGAACTGATGATTGAATGATGAGAAAGAGAAGACTCCAAGATTAATCTGTTTTTGGCTAGAGCAACCGGATGGATGGTGATGCTGAGATGGGGAAATGAAGTGTAGAAGCTGTTTGGTGGTAGAAGTGGAAGAGAAGTAAATTGGACATAGTTGTGGGACATGCAGGAAGAGGCAGTTGTGTAGATCCATCTAAAAGTTCCTGAAGGGGTTTGCTGACCCTGCAAATTCAGCAGGTCAAGAGAATACCAATATACATATCCCACATAGTCACTTCCTTAGGATATCGTAGTAAGGGAAATAAACAAGGTCGAGGAAAACAACAATCTCCACGTATAGCTTGTGTAACGACAAACTTACCTGCGCATACAGTACTTGGAACCATTGTCAGAAACATATCATTAAGTTAAATGCGTGCAGGGCTGTTATCAGTATAACTCTTATGTGTGTGTATGTATGTTTTATGACACATAGTTGAGATTACGCCTGTTGTAGAATATTTTTTATTTCTCGGCATAAATTGTTCAATGATGCAAAACAGATTGTAAGACACAAATTAGCATTCCCTGATCCAGTAAAATCATGTAAATTATAGAATGATGTATTACTTTCATTTATGTTCTTTTGTTTGGGAAGATGAGTAATTAACTTTAGAAATAATCCAACTACCTTACTTTAATAATATTTGCATAAAAATTATAAAAGAGAAAAAAGGTTACAACTGAAGCAGAAATAATAAGACCAACCCTGCCTATTGTTATTAAAAATAGATTTGTGAATTAGTACTATAACACTTAATATTTATTGAGTATTTACATTGTGCTTGGAACTGTTCTAAGCATTTTACATACGTTATCTCATTTGTTACAACAATCTCCTGAGGTAGGTAGTATTATTATCTTCACCCTCATTTAAAAAGGAAAATTGAGGCACAAAGAGATTAAGCAGTTGCTCAAGGTCATACCCTGAGGTGGTAGGGTAGGATCTGAATCTAGGCAATCTCAGAAAACAAAAGAGATTAAAGTAGAAAGGCCAGGGATTAAAAATGGGCTAGGCTTCTAATTTAGAATTCATGTAATCATAGATCTATTTACAGGATAAAAAAGTTACCTAAGAATATCATTATAGGATCTCAAATTAGTAATTCAGATCTTTGTCTTGGCAAAGGTACCAATGATTAAGACAATTTTTACAAGTAAAGGCAGAAATAATTCAAGAATAATATGAAGAGAGTAACAGTCCTTACCATAGGTTCAGTTTAATATCTGCTTGTGCATAGAAACTGCTTACGAGTTAAATGAGATGAGGCCTACATGTGAAGTTGTTTTTGGTTTCATTATCTAATTTCCACTTCATTCCAAATTACTTTCCCCAAAAGGAGAGAATATACTTATAGCTGTACTTATATGTATAAAACTGTCCTTGTTAAAAGATATGATAGCTAATTAACTTCAGAAGTTATCTGCAAATTCGAATTTAATTCGTGAATGAGGTTTATCTTATCTTTTTGGAAATTCTAACTAGGTAATCAATTAAAAAATGAAGTGAAATAGCTTATTTCCCTTGAAAACATCTCTTTAGTTTTGTTGTTTGTCATGGATAAATGCAGCTAATACATAAATACAGGTATGGCTCTGGAAGTCGGAAGGTGAATTCATTAATTGTGAACATCTCTGAATTTGTTTACATTAGAAAAAAATCACAACTGATTATCCTTACCAGATCTAAATGGACAAAAAATCCATACATAAACCAAATTCTCAAATTGGCCCTTGTTATGAACTGATGATTGATCATTACATCTTGAACTTGAGAATTAAAGAGCAGTGAATAAAACCAAGGAAAAAAATTTCCAAAATTAATACAAATAGAAAGTTAGTGTGCTGGTTGTGTACTGATATGTTATGTGTGTTTCAGATAACCAAGTCAACCGTTCAACTACTTTACCAATCTCTATGAATACTGACGGATAATATAACTCAAGATGCCCTGCTGAAGAGAATTACTTTGGGAATTTGGTGAACTCAATGTTTGTACTTCTAAAGTAAAAATCAAAGCTACTACCAAAGTTCAATGAAGCTACAACATTTTTTAAAGTTCACATTATCTGCTATGTAAATTATATTTTCATGAATATAAAAATACAATTGAAAAAATTTTTTTTGGTGGAAGACAGATGTTCAAAATTTCTTTTCCATTAAGCACTTGTTTCTGGTGATGAAGAATGATTTGGTAAAGCAGTTAACAATACATTTTCCAAAGACACCAGAGGATCTGTATAATACTGTAAAGCAGGACTGAAACCTTTCTGCTGTAAATACTCGACTCGGCCTTGGTCAATCAGCAATTTACAAAGATGCCCTATTTTCTTCTTTTCTTCAACAGTAAGGAGCCTAAATCGAATAAACACAAAACATCATTAAAATTTGTAGGAGTTTATGAAAAAATTATTGTAGTCACTTCTATTTATTGATAAAAGTTGCTAAGTAACCCATGATATACTAGGTGCTATGTTCCATGTTTCCAAGATACATTTTATTTATGCCACAATAAAAGTGTATTTTAACTTATTCTAAAATTGGATGGTAAAATGCATCTTCATCAATAGATTCTTGGTAACATTTATCTAAAAAAAACCTGAAGCAATAACAAAACATTTCTGCCTTAGTGTTGTGCATCTCAAAGTAGTCACTTACCCAGGCAAACTCTCAGTGCTGTCGTCCGTGATTCTGCATCCCCCATCGTCATGCTCTTCACTGTCATCACTGTGCTTATCTTTTCTCTTTGAGGTCACGTTGGAGGCTTCCAAAGATGTTTTTTGCATCCCACAAGTTGCCCAACTACTCATTCGCTGGAAGTAGTGGAAATCCACTGCTCCAAGGCCTAGAGCCCTGAAATATTCTTTGCCCACATAATGTCTCCAATCACACCTGTGGTGACAACAGAGTGCAATAACAATGCCAGCCACAGGGGTCCACTTCTCTGGGACATTTTTCTCATTTCCTTCCTTGGCCAAAGGGTTAATTTCTTTGTCTGTTTTATCATTCTTTCTGCGTTTGGCTAAAGGTTCTTCATTCCTTTCCTCACAACTGGCAGCATAGGTTTCAACCAAACATCGTAATGCAAGATCTGCAAACACAATTATGTGGCCCCCCAAACCACATCATCTTTAAAAATAAGTATTTTTTACATTTATTCAGCAGTATGGCTTCTAAAATCCCAACAATAAAACCTACTTAGGTTTATACTTGTAATAATTCATCCATGAATTATCAATTTGTTCATGTTTCCTGTGTTCTTGTTAGCATCTAATTTTCTCTGGTGACTTATTCTGCATAAAATCTACTTCCCCCCAAAACTGTCTGAAGCTTAAGATCTAGAGTTTGTAAAAACTTTTAGTCCAACTACTTGAACTGGCTCTCATTTTTCCTGCTCTAGCTGAGGAAATGACTTGTACAGAAAAAAATTATTCATCTACACTTACATTCCAGGAAAAGTTTTGAGTTTAAGAAACCCAAAGAAAAAAATTGAGGGGTAAGGCATCTGGTGAGATTTAAATGTTAGGTGTGAGTCCTGAAATGTAAGGTGTTCACAGAAAAAGCTGATGAGCTGAAGAGTTGAGAAGAGGGAGTCAGACTGTGGAAAGTAGGCCTCACTGAGCAGCCTTACAGGTATTTATGTATTCATTCAGCAGTTAGTTACTGAGAACCTTTTGTGTGCAAGCTTTGCGATGTAACGATGATTATACACATAAACTTAGAGGTGAATGTACTCCAAATTAAAATGAAAAATTTTAAACCTAAAAGCTAAACAAATAGATTTTTGATGAGTAAGACTATTTCCCACTGAAGACCACTATACTGATGACAATATTGGAAAGACTCCAAAATTATGCTGTGAAACCCATATTTTCTGTCTGATTAGACTGGCATGCTGTGCTTAGTCAATCAGAAACATAAATATTTTAAAATTGTATTACCCTTGGCACAAAAACAGACACATAGACCAATGGAATAGAATAGAAACCCCAGAACTAGACCCACAAACGTATGGCCAACTCATCTTTGACAAAGCAGGAAAGAACATCCAATGGAAAAAAGACAGTCTCTTTAACAAATGGTGCTGGGAGAACTGGACAGCAACATGCAGAAGGTTGAAACTAGACCACTTTCTCACACCATTCACAAAAATAAACTCAAAATGGATAAAGGACCTGAATGTGAGACAGGAAACCATCAAAACCTTAGAGGAGAAAGCAGGAAAAGACCTCTCTGACCTCAGC